GGCCTCCCAGAGAGCTAGGATTACAAGCGTGAGCCATTGCGCCCGGCTGTTTTAAAGCTTTAAAGCTTATACATCATATAAAAAGTGGGCAGTCTTAAAAATTTGTGTGATGAGGCCAGGTGTGGTGGGTCATGGCTATAGTCCTAACACTTTGGGAGGCCAAGGTGGGAGGATCTCTTGAGCCCAGGAGTTTGAGGTTGCAGTGAGCTATTAATATGATGACGCCACTGCGCTCTATCCCAGGCAACAGTGTGAGACCCTGTCTCAAAAAAAAAAAAAATGTTGCGTGAGGAGATCTCAAACATTTTATCTGAAGCATGTTGAGGATTTGTTTCACTTTTTTGTTTAGGGTGTTGTCGGGGGGGAGGGGGGGGGATGCCTCATGCTGCCAAGATTGAAAGGGCTGTGATGACAGCACCAGAAAATCATGCCCTTTGCCCTTAAGACACAATTGAGTAAATAAAGGCAAACAGATATATTTCTGTGCCTTTGCCTTTCTGTTTTGGATCTTAGTTGATCCTTTCCCATGACTTCTTTAATAGGTAATAAAGCTGCGTATGTGTTTGTGTATTACTAACAGCACAGAAATGCATGAGTAGTTTTGTGCATGTTGTAGAAAATGAGTCCATGTAAAAATTGAGTTAGAATTTCCAACGTGACATTTCCCTCACCTAGGTGTATGTTGATTTATCTGCAGGAAATTTAGAGTAATCCGTGCAGATTCATACTTGAAGAACTTTGCTTCTGACCGATCTCACATGAAAGACTCCAGTGGGAACTGGAGAGAGCCTCCTCCACCATATCCCTGCATCGAAACTGGAGGTGAGCCAAGGATGCCTTCTCAAAGGCGTTTCTGATCAATCACAGTACAAGCCAAAATTTTCCTTTACCCAAGGACAAAAATCAGATTGTTCTTTGGATAAAACTCCCCAAGTGGTAAGGAGGTAAGGTGAGTACTAGTTCTATGTGTTCATTAGGTTTGGAAATTGAATCTCTGTAGAACAGGACTGGAAGGCATGAGAACTCATGGGAGAGGAAGGGTGCTAAGGAGCAGAACCATGATACTTGCAAACTGCTGGGTTTTTGGATATGCCTACTGCTGGGACACTGGACATCAGAAGATCTGCACACTTTTGTCATTTAACAGCAGGACTTATAACACCTTGCCATGGTAGGGTTTGTGTTATGGTGAAAGAAACCCCCATTCTTATGCTGCGTGAAATGTCATTTCTCTGACTCTGTAATAAAATCTGCATTAGTGGGAGGTGAATGCTGGCAGGTTTTATTAAACCACTTGTCTTATTTATTTATGTGCTTTTGGGCATTGCTCCAATTGATAATTTCTTGAGATTTAAGAAGACAAAGGGTTCTTTACCCTATTGCTATTGGGGTTCGCAACGCCCCTGATATAACCAGGTCCCTGGGCAGTGTGCGTTGCAAGAGATGGGAGAGACAAAGGCACGGACACAAAAAGTAAGGTGAAAGGGTGCGGGGAAGTCAGGGGACTGCCAGGATTCCTGGATCCAGGTGGTACTGACTGAAGTCTAGCACCCATTTTTATTCTCTTTTTCATGTTATGGATTACAGTGATTTCACGTGAAAAGCTCGTGGGTTAGTGGGTTAGCAGGCTAGCAGTAGGGCCTATAATCTAAATGGGAACAAAAGAGATCTTCTTTCTACTTTATCTAGTTCCTCATTTACTGAGACATGAACTCAGGAGAGAGATAAGAGCATTGCCTCAGGCTTAGGATAGCAAACTGCTCTTATCTGCTGGGCTGACATCCTTTGATCATTCTCTCAACCTTTGGATTACAAGTCTGGGTCCATTTGCAGACATCCCTGATCGGTGGAATGTCCCCCTCAAGGTCGAGCAGCTTTTGCTCAGTGAACTGACATGTCCACAGGTTGCTCTTTGGCAAAGACCCACTCCTGGGGTTCTTATGCCTCAGCATAAGACCCTAACCCTCAGCATATTACTATTGTTTGGCATTCACATGAGTTTGAAGCATTATTTGTGATGATAAGTAATTCACAACATTCCCATTGAGTGGTGAGATCATCCCAACACATGGATAATACAGTCTATGTGAACGTGCTCTGTAAGCTATGCAGCATGCCAGAAAAATAGGACAGTAGTATTAATAGTTCAGCAGGAAAGAAAGTAAAAAGTATATTTGGTGTATTTGAATGGAGTGAACATTAAAAGAGGGTTCAAACTCTGATTTTTGAGGCCTTCTGTGAAAATCTGTCATAATTTTAAAAATTTATATTGGAATTGCTTGTTGGTACACAAACCCGCTTCCTAGCCTCAGTGTTACAGCTGGGAAAGCTCCTAGTTTAGGAGAGGGCTCTGTGGGTCTGCCTTATATCTTGGGCAACATGCTGTGCTGGGCCTGCTCTGGGCATAGTGTGCCTTCAGCAGCTACCTGTTGCTCTTTTAAATATGAGCACCTAAGACAGAGCCTAGAGTTACAGAAGGCATTTAAAAAACACTGCCTTGTCTTGTCAGCCCTGGTCCTGTTTGGACCATTCCTTCTCTGAAGGTAGTGTCTTTTTCTTGTTGCTTTTAAGGTTTTTCTCTTTATCACTGGTTTTCAGCAATTTAATTATGCTGGATTATAATGTAGTTTTCTTTAAGCTTATTCTGCTTGAGGTTTGTTGAGATTCTTAGATTGGTGGATTTGTAGTGTTCATCAAATTTGGGAACATTTGACCATTATTTCTTCAAATATTTTTTCTGACACACCCCCCTTTTTTATCCTTGTATTTCAGCTATACCTGTGTTCCATAAGTCAATGATGTTCTGTTCATTTTTTTTCCAGAATTTTTCTGTATGTGGTTCATTTTGAATAGTTCTTTTGTTTGTAAATTCATTGCTCTTTTCATCTGCATTAATTAATTTGCGGTTAATCCCACCCAGTACGGTTTTTTCATTGTATGTATTTTATTTTTTCGTCTCTAGAAATTCTCTTTGGGGCTTATTTAATATCTTCCATTTCTCTCTTCATGTGCGTGTTCTACTCTACTTTTTTGAACATACGGAGCATACATATAATAACTGTTCTGTAGTCCCTGTCTATTAATTCCATTATCTCTGTCATTTCATTCTGTTTTCTGTTGATTGATATCTCTCCTGATTTTGGGTCATGTTTTCCTATTTCCTGTGTGGTTGGTAATATTTGCTTGAATGCTGGACTTTGTGAATTTTACGTTGTTGGTTGCTGGGGTTTTATGTACTTTAAAGATAGTGTTGGATTTTGTTCTGGCATGCACTTAATTTACTTGGAGTCTGTTGGATTCGCTTTTAAGTTTTTTAGTCCAGGTTCAGAGCAGCCTTTTATCTAGGGCTAATTTAGCCCCACTGCTCTGACATGACCCTTCTGAGGACTTTGCCAAATGCCAGGTGTTACAAGTTCTCTCTGCTCTGGCTGGTGGGGACGTGAATTATTCCTTGCTCCATGGAAGTTCTAGGAATTATTAGACCTACTGCTTTCTAGTGCTGCTTTCCCTGGCCTCATGAATTTTATTCCATGGAAGAGAAGACCAGTTATTAGCCAAAGACTCAGGGGTCCCCTCTGCAGATCTCTGGAACTCACTCTCTCTGTGCAGTTCCCTCTTCTCTGATTCTCTGTCCCCTGTGTCCCTCAATTTGGGTTTGTGTGATTAAATTGGGGTTATGCATTTGAGGCAAGAAAATCACAGAAGTGATACTGAACCCTTATCTGTTTGAATAATTTGTCCTACTTTTGGTCTTCTGGGTTGTTTTATTGCTGTTAAACCAAAGTTGTGTTTTCAGTGGACATTTTTTTCATGTATTTTTCTAGATTCCAAAATGAACCTGAATGATTTCATCAGTATGGATCCTGAGGTAGGATGGGGAGCTGTCTACACACTGTCTGAATTTGTACATCGGTTTGGCAGTAAAAACTACTGAACTTGACATTAGGATGTGGAACTTTGGAGAAATTCTAGGACATGAACAAGCTATCTCTTCATTTAGGATAGCAAACATTATAGTACAGTTGGCTTAAAATTATGTTTTTCTCTTTTAATTCAATTGAGTGGAAACATGAGTGAATACAAATATTACAAGTGAACTATATAATAACTTTTTTTTGGATATGTCAAGTTGAAACTTGATGTAGTATATAATTGCTAAGATATTCCCGTGGATCATTTGTTAAAACATGTGACGACTTATGCCAGTGATCGTTTTGTTAAGATAGAGGTGTGGGCTTAGAGCCAGACCCTCATGTCTGTTCTGGATGTTTTGTGTCTCTCCAGCTACATTGTAAGCTCCTTGAGGGCAGGGCTGTGGGTCATTGCTCTGTGAATCTCTAATGACTGTGAAAGGTGCCCATAAAATGTTTTCTGGTGAATGTGCTATTGCTTGAAAAGGGATGATATTGTGAGCTGAATCAGCAGTCAGTATTAGTCTTTTTGGACTATGCTATTGTTAAAAAGATTGCAGCCCTCTCAGACTTGAGTGTTATTTGGCCTGTTTATATATGGTTTTCAATAAAATTGATTTAAAATTAATTAATATTGTTTTGAAGATTTTGTGTCACTCTTGATGATCTGAAATACCTAAGAATGTCTCAATCATAGATGAGAACTGTGGCTTTAAAATATATTTATCACATGTGCCTTCTTGAAGATGACTTGGTCATTTGGCTTTAATTATTCCAAATGATTAAATAATTCCAAATAGAAGATACTTGGCATTAGACTGGCATATAGTGCTAGCTCTAATTCGTAGTTTCATGGTTCTACTGTAAAAACGAACAACTTCTTATAGCAAGGATGTCTAAGCTTTTGTTCTTAGATGAGTTTTCTATTTGTTAGGAAACCGCCACTTAAAAGGAATCCCTTGTCCTGTGCTGTGGAGTGTACAGCTGTGATCATTTACTCAGGAATCAGCTTCCCCGGTTCAGGGTTATCATCAGCTCCTTAGTGAGAAGGAGCTGAAGGCTTCTCTCAGCACCCGCTGTCTCTCCTCTCTGGTTGGTTGTAGGTATACATGTTGACTATATAGTACTTGTTCCGGAAACTGGTGACAGGCTCTCCAAACAAGTCCTTTTGTCACCTTTATAAAACACTGAGTTACTGAACCCCCTAGTTATAACTCTAGAGGACGATCCAGGCTGAGTATAATAACCATTACAGTCCAGCTTCCGCTCCTCAGAGTGGGCAAAGGGAAGTAAGTAGCCCCCCCTGCCACGTTCTCTTTTGTGTGGCACACAGTAGATGCTCAACAAACGTTTGCTGAATGAATGAGTATATGTTTATGAGGTTCTCTAGATGTCTTCTGTTAGCACTGTTAATTATAAAATTAATGAAATGATATATAACTGCACACATAAAAATTGCTGTAACCAGTTAATTAGGTTGGATTTGGTCAGGAGACATATAATGGTTACCACCAAAGCTATTTTTCTCTTGGTGAAGAAATGATAGGGACATTATGTGGTTGGGCTTCTCTATATCCTTTTCCCTCTGCCCCACTATATTCCCTCCCAGTCCTGTTTAAACTTTATTGCTGATGCCTTTTCTGAAAGGATTTGGAAGCATCCCCAACTAATTAGAATGTTTTGTGAGGATATCCATGTCCCTGTGTACCCTGACTGTGGAACACAGTTGGAAGGAACAATATCCCTGTATTTTTGTCTGGTTGAAACCACAGAGTAAGTTCAGCTGCTTGTGGTATAGGAGGGGTTTCTAACCTGGAGTCCTAATGCACCTGTGTGTGCATATGAGTACATTTTTCTGGAGAAAGGATCCATAGCTTGTGTCATCTTTTTTATTCATTTAAGAATATTTATTATTATTATTTTCCTTATTGAGGGCCTACATGTTAGATGCTAGTAATCAGAATGAGAATAGCTCCTGCCCTCATGTAGCTTACAGGCTAATGGCACAGACCGACATCCATCAGAGAATCACCACAAATGACTATAGTATTACACCTGTGAAAAGTGCTATTAAGGAGAGATAATGGTTCTATGAGAACATGTAATGGGGAAACAAGCTGGTAAAGGAGGCTTCCTTAAGGAATTGCTTCGTTCACTCAATGAAGAGCTCCTACCGTGTGCTAAGCACAGTTCCTGCCCTGGTGATTCAGCTGCGAATCCTGCGCTCAGGTCTCACATTCTGGTGGCAGAGATGAACAATGAAGTTCGACGTGTGGAAGGATGGTTGCTATTTACTGAGTTGGGGAAGATTGTGGGTGGGGCAGTTTTGGGGAGGAAGATTAGCAGTTTTATTTTGAGCATGTTAAATTTGAGGTGCCAGTGAGATGTCTAAGAGGAGATGTCAAATAAGAGTTGGATGAAGGGGTCTGGGATTCAGGGGAGAGATGCAGGATGGGAATATCAAATTGGGAGACTAGATGGTATTTAAAGGCACAGGACTCTGTCAGATCACTGAGCATGAGCATAGATAGAGAAGAGGTCCATGGACCCAGCCTTGGGAGCTTTTATATTTAGAGGTCAGGAGATAGGGAGTCACCAGTAAAGGGGGCAGAGGGAATGCCCAATGAAGGAGGAAAAGAAAACAAGGCCCAGAAGAGACAGTGATTCAAAAAGGAGAGAAGGATTAGCCACGTCAAATGCTCTGATCAGTTAAGTAAGCTGAGGACAGAGATGGCCATCAGCTTTGGCAGCGTGGGGAGTGATGGCAATTGCAGTGGAGTGATGGGGGTGAGAGCCTAATGGAAGCGGGTTCAGCAGAGGACAGGAGGAAGGAAGTTGACTGGTTTGGTAAAGGGAGCAGAGAAGGCAGCAGTACCACAGGGCGATGTGGGTCAAGGGAGACTCCTGTTTGCCTAGTCCTCATCCAATTCTTCCTTTATGAGGAACGAATTAACCATGTCTAGTCCTCCAAGGAAACCTCTGGTGACATCAAAGACACTTCCTCCGGGTCCTCTGGCTCTTGCACGGGGTGAATGCTGCTCATTTCCTGCTCTGCGGGACACCGCCTTTGGCTAGATCCATCCCTTGGTTCGCTCAATCCTTCTTCAGCATTGCCAGAGAGGAAAGAAAGCTGCTGGGTAACCTTCAGGGGTATTGCGCCCAGGTCATGGACCCTCAGCCACCATCCCTAAGAACTTGTTTTTATCCTTGTCCTCTTCCCATTTTGCAATGTTTTCTCCACAAAGCAGCCAAAGTGATCTTTTACAAATACAAATGAGACCATCTCATCCCTGTTTTAAAACAACAGCCACCACCTACTGCTTTACAATGGCTTCAACATGCCTGTAAGCTACAATCTACTGTGTACTGTGGCCCTCACGCCCTGCGTGGCCTGGCCTGTGGCTGCCTCTGATTTCAGCTCCGCCACTCCCGGCCCAGAACCCATCCTGCCTCCCCCATTAGGTTTGCTGCTGAGTAGGACAAGCTCATTCCTTCTTCAGGGACCTCACGCTCTATCTTCCCCGATTTGATCCTTCTGTCCTATAGCTTCTGCTGGCTCATTTAGGTCTCAGCTCCGAGTCCTTCCCCGATGACTTACCTAACGCTGACTGCCCCCGGTCAACATCACCTTACCCTATTTTTCTTCATAGCAGTTCTCACTAACTGAAATTATATTGCACGTTTATTTGTTTGAAAGTCTGTTTTCTATCTCCCTTCACTAGCACATGAGTCCGCTCTGCCCTATTCTCCCCTCTAATGTCGTGCCTAGTATAGTGTCTGACACGTCGGAGTAGGTACTCAGCATAGTCCTCGGATGTTCAATGAAGGAACAGTTCCTGTCACCAAAGGGATCTGGAACATCAAGTTCCCCGCTGCACTGGATCTCTAGGTAATGCTGGAAAAGTACTGCTTAATCTTTACTCTTTGATTTCTTCCCTTTGACCAGATTCTGTTCCTTTTTTAGATTAACCTGTCTTTTTTCAAGCAGGTTTCTTTTTCAGTCCCTCAAGCCTTAAGCCCAGGCGCTACTCTTCCACATTTTGGTCCGGAAAGGACATTACAGATGACTTCTGTGGGGAGCAAAGAACACCATGAGTTGATTTAATTAGTTTTACTCTCCCATTCTTGGCAGGCATCTCATTGCAGCCTCTTGTCACAAACGCAGACGGAAAGCACCTTGTCTTGTCTGAGATCGAGACTAGGAGCTCATAGTACACGTTTCTCCTTCCTCTAAGCCGACCGTGCAGCCTAGCACCAGAGAATGAACTATCTCTTTTACCCTCTCGGTCCAAGGAGAATATGGCTTTGGCCATGAGCTATAGCAGGCATCTGTTGGGGACAGGCTTTTAATAATTTGTTATCAAGGGAGCAATCGTAGCGAAATTTCACTTACAGTCAATAGGCAGTCTTTCCTCAGGTTTCCATGGGGATCTGGAGTTTTAGAGCAATTTCTGGGAAGAACATTGGAAAGAAATTGAGGGGCAAAATGTTAGTAGTCACACTGTTCTGGCACACACTGTTCCTGCAGCTATAGGTGATACATGAGTCACTGTCATTCAAGGCCCACAGGATGCAGAGCTGTGTGTGATCTTCTTGAGGCCAGATGGGGGCCAGATGCTGAGGAGATCATATCTCTGCACTCAGAATACAAGAAAAATAAGCTTTAAGTCCATGGTTTTCATTACAGTTTTGCATTTGCTCGTCACACAGTGTGTGACCTTGGGGAAGTCACTTAACCTCTCTGGGCCTTGGTTGCCTCGCCTAAGAAAGAGTTATTTTGAGGTTCAAATGAGACTGTGTGTGTGTGTGTGTGTGTGAGAAAGAGAGAGAGAGAGAGAGAGAAAGAATGTTTCATACTCTGAAAGGTAAACCGTTTTAAATAGCTAATACTTATTTCATGCCTAATATGTAGTGGATAGCCCTTCTAAGCTCTTTATGTGTATGAACTCATTTAATCCTCAAAACGACAACATAAGGTAGATACTATTACTCTCCTCATGTTATAGATTAGGAAACCAAGGCACAATGAGGAAAAGTGACTTACCCAAAGCCATAGTGTTGGTGAGTGGCAGAAACAGGATTTGAATTTAGGTGTTCCTGCTCCAGGGCCTGGCTGCCATCCATGTTACCCAGTTCCCAGCTCACTAGAAAAGTGCTCTCTATTGCAGGGCAGGAGTGGATCACTGAGCTTTACCATGGCCTGGTGAAGGGTCCTTCACAGCTATCCACCTGAAGTAACTTACCTTGTAGTTACTGCAAAGAATCTTTCTCAGTGAATTTCAAACTTGGTGAGCCCAAGATTCAGGGGAGAGTTTGTTAACAAGGCAGATGTTCAGACTCCTCCCTAGAGATTCTGATTCAGTAAGCATACCAGTCAGGCTTCATTTGCAGATAACAGACATTACTCTCACTCTGTGAATCCACAGGGGATTTGATTCAAAGTCACGGAGATGGGAAACAAACATTTGGAGAGAGGGTCATAGGTATAGTAGCTGGAGAGGCACTCACTCTACTACAGACCTGCCCAGACCTGTGAACTCTGGCAGCACTGTGACTGGTTCAGGGCATCTGCTGCATCCTATAGGACAGAACTCCAGCATCACCAGGTGGTGTCTCCCAGTGGATG